ATAAATAATCAATTATTTTAATAATATATAAATAAATGTGCACGAGTGTATATGTGTAACAAAATTCAATAGATTATAAACATTTTTGAAGAAATCAACAACCTTTTAATTTCTGAATTGAGAACAAAGGAATTAAGGAAACGAAGAGAGCAGCACACATTAAACTAGCTATCACCTTCTTAACAACAACTTTCATCGGTGATGGTTCTAATACAATCTCGTTAACGTTTTCCAATGTTTTCTCATTGTTTTCATCCTGAGAATATAAATAACTATACTTTAATAATTATATATTATCATTCAAAGAGAATTTTCATTTTATTTTAAATTCATTTTTAGATAAGATAAATTAAGAATAATATTTCAAAAATAGATTAATCTCACCGTCAATGATTTAGTAGTATCTTTCATATGATCTCCGTTTATAAAATCGATATAATCACGATAAAATATTACTGGGCCCGCCATTAAAGCTTGAAAGTGAAATACGTAACTGAAGTATTCCATCATCGTTGGCATTTTACTAGAATAATATAAAGAATAAATTTGTATATACAAATTTAAATATATATATATATATATTAAATATAATCAATCAAAATTAATTAATTAATTAATTTCTCTGTCCATATTAAATTTTACTTTATATATTTTCTACTTTAATCTAAAAAAAAAAAAACAAAATATAAACCTTTACCCCGAAAGTATAAACGAACAATAGTAAAGTATAATAACTAAATCGTTTACTAATGATAAATGAATTATAAAATATATCTACAAATAATTAAACAAGCGTGCATGCCAACGCAATTGTAGAAGATCAAAATTCGTCAAACGCTTTTGATCCTCTCTTATCGTTTTTAATAAAAATATATTTCTATTATACAGGGTGTTATTTAGATATACCGTTTTTAATATTCCACCCTGTATATTGTACACAAGATAAATTTAAAAAATAAATAAATAAAAAGAGACGTAAGCGTAAACTACATCTTATATAAATTCAAAAACTTGCTTTTCTATATAAATATAATAATTAGATTTAAATATTTTACGCATTCATCTATCTCGACAATAATTAAATAACAATCTAACAAAAATGAGGGCAAGAGAGCTTTAGCGTCATTCATATTTTGCGATAAAGATTGTGTGTCACCTGAAACCTACGAATTAAAATTAAAAACAAAAATAGAAGAAAAATAAAAAAATAAGGACGAACTAAAAGCCAAGCTTTGAATATACATCATGCTCTTCTATATATATAATAATATATATATATTCTTTCTCTCTCTCTCCTTTTCTTTCTTTCTATATATATATATCACATAAATATGCGTGAGAGACTAATATTTAAGTCTAACCAACGCGATGTAGCTCGTTTCCTCGTTTTAGTTCCCACATCCTAAGATCTTTCTCGGACTCGGTTTTAATTATAAAACGCGTGCACTCACTAGACGGCTTGGCGTCGTTGTAAGGGTGTTAATTCCTCCTTATTCCTAGCCAATCCATCGTGCAAGCTATACGCTAGACTCGTTACTTTTTGCGTGATCACCATGAGAGGACCTACAATTAAAAATACACACAATAATTAATATAACAAATTAATTTTTTAATTTCACATAATATTATCATTCGATAAATTTATTATTAAGTATCTCCAAGAAGTTTTTTCTATCTTTCTCATTCTAATATTAAAGTGATATATAAATGTTAATTTTAACAAATATTATTATTATTTTTTTAATTAAACGTACCAGTAATGTCTAGAGTATACGACCCGTAATCGTAGAGTTGTCTGTGTATGTGTATAGTAGACAAATATGCTAATGCAACGACTAGAACAGCCCTAAAAAAATATTTATTATTATAATTATATATACGATGAAATGATTACAAAATTATATGTAACGTTGAATATTTATAGTTCGTTGAAAAATATTATATTCTAATATATCGATCGATTTTCTATATATAATTATTTACACGTGATATTTAAAAAAAAAAAAAAGAAAATAAAAAACAAGAAATAACTTTACGCCTGTTAATAGGCAATCCTTGATACTCGTCTGTCGGTATGAAAACTTTCTTTACCCTTGTTGATATGCAACACGCTTTACATTCACGTACGACGATGTTGCATACCATTAAGGATAAAAAATTTTTTTTTTACTGATAGATGACGCTCGCAAACAATGTTATCGACGGTGCATTAAGTATTGCATATCATCAGGCGTCCGATTAATTTATATACCTAAACATAAATGAACTATTTATTTATTGTATATTATTTTTTAAATTCATAGAAAATCTTGCGACTGTTCTTTTTTATTTTTTATAAAGATATCTTTTATAAATAATTAATTTATACAAGGTAATTTTTATACCTTTGCATACAAGCAGCATTTTGTGTTCTCATTGCGGTATAACAGAATACTGGAAGACCCACCAAATGTATCGCTTGTCTGTAATAAAAATTTAAAAAATATATGTATTGTATTTTAATATTATATAAATTATTTATAAATATATATATAAAATGTAATTTACCTGCCAAAGCAGAAGTATCCAAGTGCGAGACCAATTGTAAGACCAAACCAATGTCTGGTAGCTGGTTTAACTACTTTATGACTTAGGGATGACCTGAATAATCCAGCCAACAGCAATGCAATGAATTGCGTTATAACAAAGTTAGCCTAAAAATAAATACAAAGAGATATAAATTCTTTAATAAGTCAACACCCGGTATATGGATGCATCTTTTTTTTTCTTGTTAAATAAAATATAAAAAAAAAAGAAGGAAAAATGTGAAAGAATAATAAATTGATAAAGATGGGACTTTACTGAATTAGAATTTACATTTCTTATCGGCATTGTGAATAAACAGATAAATGCAATACTAATGCAAATATGAATAATTACGTACAAATACATAAACGACATTTAACATAAGAGATAAAGAAAAATAAAATGAAGATAAGTACGCTTTCTTCTGTGCTTCCCCCTTAATAAATTTATTACCATTAGTATTTTCTTTGTCAACTCAAATGTAGATGACGTAAATGGTCATTACCGCATTCCACTTTTGACTATTGTTCTTTTTAATTAGTAATACTAGTGAGAGACATGAAACATAATAAGCAAGACAATAGCTTATCTGATACAATGCAAACAATAATGCGCTATATTTTAATTACTACTTTCTGGCTTGTTTAAAAAATGACTATTTGTTTTATTTATAATTGTTGTAACATTGTTAATGTCCGTTATTTTAAGATAACAATATATACGTTTAATTTATTTAACAGTAGGCAAATAAATGTCAGCAATTTTTTTTTTTACCAATATTAACAAAATAATAATTAATATTTATAGTACTTTACATAAGAGTACGCGGTTATATTTTAATAATAAAAATTATATATTACTAGTAAATAAAAATAAATAAAATAAAATATCGATATACTAAAAAAAAAAAAAAAAAAAAAAGAAGAGTTAAAATTACATATAAAAATATTAAAATATATTTTTTATTGATATCTTTTAATTATATATTAAAATTTAATGAAACATCTATTATAACATAATAATAATAATAATAATGATAATATTATTGAATAGATTATATAACAGGATATTTATCAATTATACAACAAAGAATTAAATAAAATGATCTTTGACAAATGTATGATCCAATGAACTTTGATATAAGTAATTAAATCATTTTAATTGGCTTAGTTTATCCAGTTAAGATACATTTAAAGTTTCTTTTTTGAATTACAGAACTGGAATATACCAAAGTCCCCCGAGTATATGGAACTTCCCGGGGTTCCCTCAACGATGATGGCAAACAAAACGAGTGAAACACGCATGTATAACCCGTACATATGGTAAGATTAGTATATAAGAGGAAGACTTCTCCAAAGAAAGCACAGTTCACTTCACGAAGTCACAAAAGATTTCATTCTGAGTTCTACTACTCTGTAATTTGTTATAATCTAATAGAATATAACTGAATCTTCTATAACAATGAAGTTTCTACTGATAGTTTTAATAGCATCAGTTGCTATTGCTTACTCTAGTGCAAGTTTGGATAATCTGCAAGATGATACTGCTGCTGATTTAGAAATATTGGTAAGTTACTTTTCTATTTTTCAAAATATATATTTCAATAGATTCTCTTTTAAAATAAACAACATACATATTGAAATTTTATTTCATTGCCATCAAATATACTGTTAGTTGGTATCATTAAGTATTGAATAAATTCTAAAGTAGAAGTTATATTTTTGATATACAGTGTTTATATACTAGTACAGTTATAACACTCGTATATTTAACAGTAAAGAATATTAAAACCATATGCTATATAAATATTAGGTTACGAGTTAACGAATGAATATTACTATTATTCGATAATGAATTTATTTTATTATAGGATCTAAATGTAATGTCCTACTTTTTCAGAATCAACGTTTACCCCGTCAAGTTGATGATCCTAATGGATCGATAATACTTCGTGGAGAAAAACCATTGAGTGGACCAGACCAACGTGCAACCATTAATTTAGAGTTACAAAGAAAACTGAATGAACA